TTTATTCTAGCTAAAATAAAGTATTTTACAGTTTGCATGAAAAGCTACACAGTGATAATCAACACTGCTATGTTGTCAGCATTTTAAATCAATGAATCAGTTTTTAGTTCATTGACTAAAACTAGGCATTTACTGACCTCCGATATCAAACGTTATACGGAGACCCTTAGAAAACGACAAGTTCCAGGCAAGAATAAATATGATATAAATTTAGTAAAATAAGATTATCTGCAGTGTTACTTACCTGTATGTGTCTGACAGACTTCTCACTAATCCAGTTTTGTATCTTAGTCATCTGATCTGTTGATCTAACTGATGATCCACTAGTCGACACCCTTGATGAAATTGACGTCAATGAGCGACTTGGAATTGGTGTGGACCATGGTCGCTTTGCAAGCAACCGTTGCTTACTTCCCTTCTTGACCATCTGTGGAAAATATGTATGAGACAGAAATAAGAACTAATGAAATATTTCACTTATTGTTGTAATGGCACCATGAAAATTATTAAGGTGTTAAACATTTATAGTACAAAAATGTAGATTAAATTAAATTTATACATCTCATTTATTGATGTTTTGTGACAACTATTATGTACATGCTGTATTTGATTATATGAATTCAAGCAAGCTGATGAATAAATTCACAAAACAGTCCCGTTTATAGTCTGCACTTTGCTTTAAAAAAATTGGACAAAAATAGAAAACATTTTTGGGTAAAAATTGAAAATTTACTCAAATTCTGCTTGTTGGCTCTAAAATTAGGGTTTATTTCCAGGAATTTTGAAGAATATAAGAAAAAAGTACAGAAAAATTTGGGCGAGAAAGTCTGGTGGTGAAAAAGTTTAGCCATATTATAATGATTTATGCATAATGCAATTTGGGCTAAATGCACTTCTAATAGAGCAAATACGATATATCAAATGTAATTATGCATGTCACATAACAGGACTGTCAGGACTAGGATTGTCAGTCCCAAAACATGTATAAACCCAAGTACAAGTACAAAGTGTAAATTTTAGCAACATACACGTACATGTAAAGTGAGTGGAGGAATTACATATACATGTAAAGACAAAGATACGTGACAGAAGCAGTTATAAAACATTTGACATTTACAATTAAATACAATTTAATAGCATGGTATCCCTATACAAAATGATATGGTCCTGCCTCCATACATGTAGTTGTGGAGATTTTAAAACAGACTAGTACTGTATGTTGTTCAGCACTGTGAATATTTTAAGTGTCAGAATGCCAATAATTTTACTAATACCGGTACATGTTAAACCTGTATTAGAAGCTACACCCATTATTTTTGTACAATTGAGAACTAATAGAAGCTGCATCCTTTCTGTTGCATTGTATCAATTTAATAGAAGCCGCATTTTCTGATACAGATTTTACAATTACCGGTATTTACACTCCTTTCAGGACAAGGTTTACCAAATACCCATGGATGTGGTTAACATTAATTTATAAATATTTAAAGACCAATGACAACACCAGTGAATTTGATGTCAATAATGCGAATAAATATAATTTTGAAATAATCTGATCTAATTGTCTAATCAGCAACTAGTTTCACACAGAGAGAATAGTACAAAAGTCTCTCAATAGTGAATTGGAACCTCATCTTTCAAATTTAAATATTATTACAACATCCATCGTTATTTGAAACGAGTGTAAAAGATTGCGAAGTTAATATTTAATTGTACAAGATAACACCAAATATGACACTTAATTAAAATCTAAACCTGTAGAGATTAGCTTCTATTGATTACATTTTATGACAGCAAAGTACATGTAAGTATAGTTGTTGGCCTTTGTATACCCATGATTGAAGATAAATATCTTTCAAAAAACAAATGACTTAAATTTGCATAATGAGATTTCTCGATTCTAATATGACAGTAAGTGTTTTCAGACAAATCACAGGTAAACATCAACCACTTAATCAAGACACATATTTGAACATGTCCTATACTGCATACGAACAATACACAGCTAAGGAAGAACTCAAGACAATAACCTAGCCAACCAGACACTGGCAAAAGAATTTTGGTGATATATGGGTTTTAGGTTCACCCCTCATGACCTTTGAGGGAACCCCGAAGGATTGTGGGGGCTTGTAATAATTACAGTACACTCTGAGAACAGGTCCATAAATTCGGAAACACCTCGTCTGATACTACGCATAAAATTTGGCAAACTGGTTGTATGGTCAGAAATATGGACAAGCCTGTCACCTCTCTACAGGTATGGTGTAAATGTAAAACTTTTGCGTAAACCACTTTCCATGGTTAAATGTAAAATGTTTGTGAGTTGGAGGAAATCACACATTTTTGTAACAGTGAATATTTCACTACCGGTAGGTTACGTACTTTAGGTAGGGTGTAGCCATCGTAAACAACCTTGAATGATCTGATCATACAATATTCAAAAGGCAAAACTTTTATCCACATCAAATGATGTTAGTTTAATCAATTTGTGGTTTTCAGTTTCCTTTCTAATCATTCCAACAGGATAGTCACAGTCACCATTAACAAAGTGCTGGATGTACTGTAAAAGGGTTAATTATTCACTGGGTTTTAATTTTGCTTATATCGCTGACTGGAAAATGCGCTTAATTAAAACCCAGTGAATATGTAAAATTTATCATAGAACACATTATCTAAATGATAAAACTGTGAATTTAAAACCCGCTGAATATGCCTGAAATGGTAAATCAGCGAGATTTAAACCACTGCAAATTTATCATTTTACAGTAATCAAATGTGTATACTCATGAACCATGGTTTACTGTAAACTGCTTTATTTTTGTGAGATAATTTTTTGCAAAGTGATTCAGCGAAAATTTTGTAGCACTGAATATTGTCGTCACTAATGCAATGAAATGATCAAATAACAAACATTTATAAAATTAAGCGTTTCACAGTACATTCAGCACTTCAACTTCATTCATGTATTTATTTATTTATTCACCAGCGTCTAATAATGTGAAAGGATATTATGTTAATGGACAGGTGATACTGTAACAATTGAACCTTTTCTCAAAATACAATTGAACTTGCTTCCGGTGCTTGGCCACCGACTGTGTTCGTTCTCTGGGTAGGACTAGTTGCCTGGCTGGTTTGTCTTTAATTTTCTTGTGACGGTGCCCTGCCAATTAATCCGCCAAAGTTACCGTTTTCAATCTAAGAGCCAGGGAGTGCTTAGAATAAAGTTGTATGTGAAATGACACTACTATAGTACATACAATGATCAGCGACAATAGGGAAAAGATCGTGTTAAAAACGAGTGTCACACTTACATACAAATTTGTTGACCATCTTGATCAGTGTGCGTTCAACCACACAAAATATCTGTTTTTCACAATGCGCGGACGCAAGTAGCGGCTGTCTTAATCCTGGTTTTATAGAAAAACAGTTCTTGTCAACAGATCGTACTACCAGATCAATAATGGCGCTGAAATTCGCTAATTGGTGACCTCGCTACTTACCGTCGTGTAAATGTGATCGTCGCGATCGATTCGAAGGGTCTCCACCAAGTTCGGGGAGTGTACGGTGATCATTCCCCGTGTGTCTTGAAGAGCCATTGCTAGCGCGGGGCCATCAGATCGAATATATCGTAGTATCAACAGCGGTGGTTCCGTCAACTCCTAATTAATATAAATTCAACAGGAAGAAAAAGTAACATTAGGCGGAATCAGTTATAAACGGGCAGTTCAAAGTCCCCAAGAAGATCACGTTACAATGTCTAGACGGATTACACTGCTTTTCTCAAAAAATCATTACGCGTAAAATGGATAACTATTTCCAGAAATAAAGTCTTCTGAATATAATTATCCCAATTAATGTGTTTATTCGTGTACTACAATAAAAAATATTACTGCTCAAGCTATTTGTAACATAAACTTTCAAAATTAATATAGGCACTATTTCTTTATTTGGCGTACGGCCATTTCCACATCGGAGGTACTGCGTAGTTATGGTAAACATTTTCCGCGAAGCGCGTTACTGTTATCACTGTTACGATGACAACAACGCTCAGCAATCCATATCCGGGTAATTTTATCCGCCATCTTGTTAACCTATGACCTATTTATCGATTGCGCCGAGTTTCTAGTC